ATATATATATATATATATATATATATGAAATATTTTAATATTGAATTATTGAGTTATTTCAGATATGCATATCTGAATTAGACCCTCAAAATATAAAAAATGATTCGTTCGGATATGTATATCCGAAACATATGGACATTTAAAGAATTTTGTCAGGAGCCTTTAAGAAAATGTAAGGGTGCATAAAGATATTCTCAAATAAAAAATTGTATTGGGAAAAATAATGAAAACATTAATTATCAACTTTTAATTAAAATAATCTATAAATTCCAACAAATAATTTCCACATTTAACTCTTATAATGTATCTTAAAGACACATGTTAAAAAACTTAAAATTAAAAATTTTGCGTTGAAAAAAATAATAAAAATATTAATTATCAATTATTAAAAACAATGCACAATTCTCAACAAATAATTTCCTTATTTAACTCTTAACATGTGATTTAAGAATCCATGTTACCATTATCCTTAATTATTTATTAAATAAGATATTTTTTGATAGTTTTCAAAGCAATTTATTCTAAAATAACTATCAAATTTTTTGTGTTGAAAGAATCTTATCTTAATTAATCATTTAATTTTCTTTTAAATTGAATGAATTTCAAAAATCAAAATTTTTTTTATATGAAAGTCCATCTAACAATGCATCGAAATATTAAACATACACTTACTGCATCTATAATCGTCTTGGGATCACCAGGAAAATATTTCAGTTTCCCTTGACCAATTTTATATATCACACTGTCAATAGTTCTGAAAACACAAATCAAAACTATTTGTTAGTATCAAACTATGATACATACTAGTAGAATCTAATAAAACTGGTTTAAACTAATCATCGCATATAATTTAATATCATAACATTAGTGAGTGATGAATGATATACCTTAAACCTTCAATCCAACCAGGAAAGGGATCCTTGATTGTACCAGTTACAACGGTAGGACGAATAATGATCAATGATACATTTTCTTTATGATGCATTAAAAGCATTTCTCCCATTGCTTTTGTGAATACATATGTATTTGGCCATCCGTGCAAATTTGCTCTAATTTTTCATTATATATAATTTAAATCAGATCCCAAAATTATATTTATTAGATATATAACATGAGAACCACTCATGATGAAAGAATTAAAAAACACCAATAATATTCTTACACTATTTCTTACTTGTAAACAATGACATGAAAAATAATGTTAACAGTAACATGAACAATTACTTCAAAGTGAATAAACGTGAATAATAATATGACCAAAATCATAAACAAAGTTGAATAATGATATGTAAAATATTTAATATTATTTATTATTTGATTAATAAACTTTAAGATATTAAAAATAATTTTTAACAGTAAAATAAAATTCGTTATAAAATATAAAATATTGGTTAATAAAGTGATGAAGTTAGTTAATTATATAACTTTAAATCAGTTGTCTTTAATCTAAAAAATATATAAAAATATAAAAATAAATAAATAATCATTTTCATATTTTTAAAATAAAAAATTATTCTATTTTTATAATAAAATATGATTCGTTGTATTGGCTAACAGTAAATACAGTATAGTTATTATTTTAGTGTAAGAATGTCATTATGAAAAATGTTATTCTTACACCAATATTCTACACCTACAATATATTTTAATGTTCACTAATTCGGTTAACAATGAAATATAATAATAATAAATTATATTTAAAAAAGAATTTTAGAAAAATATATTTTTTATACTTTTTTAATGAATGGAATATAAATACAAAATTATGTGATCAACGAACTTCATAAATTCATTAATCAACATTTTAAATTTTATTAACCAACATTTTAAATTTTTTTAACCAATTTCATAACAACTAAAATTATAAAATTGAGGCGTTTATTAATCAATTTCATAACTATATTAACTAACATTTTACATATTATTAATCAATTTTATTTTAGTGTTAAAAATCATTTTTAATATATGGGTCTTTATTAACCAATTTCATCATTTCATTAACCTACTTTTTATATTTTATTAATCAACTATATTTTATTATTAAATTGATTTTAATATCTAAGTATTTATTAACCAACTTCATGATTTAATTAACCAAATTTTTATATTTCATTAATCAACTTTATTTTATTATTAAAAGTCATTATTGATGTACTGTTTACGACAATATATATACGATCAATATGCATGCACTGTTCACGCTATTGTTTACTATACTGTTCATAAATATATACTTTTTATTTAAAAAAAAATATTATTTATCGTATAAATACGATAAACAGTTTTTGAATATAAATATTAATGTAAAATTGTGATATAGAAATAACATTCCTCTATCATTTATTAATTAAAAAAAGTAAGACAATAATAATTTGACCAACCTTTCCATTCCATAATCTTTCAATGCAAATTTCATTGTATTTGAATCTGCATTCATCGCTTGGAGTTCAGCTATTTTTTTGTCCAACAAATTCATTTCATTGTGTATGTCTAATTTTGAGATCCCTTTTAGAGATTCACCCATCTCAAATGCTTTTTCTCTTACAAATCCATCTTCATAATTACCGTCTCCGCACACATATGCTAGGATTAATAAATACTATATATTAGTATAAAAGAAGTTAAGATAAATTAAAGACAATAAATGAGACTAATCTATAATTTTGTCAATACAGAATTTTACCAGTGGATATGTGCACAAAAGCCTTTAGTTTTTTACAATTCTTTGCAAAGTCCAATGCATGTAAAGCTCCTTTTGTATTAACACCCATCGATATATCAAATCTATAGAGAAATAGAGAATATTATATTGAAATGATTAAATTATTTTAGTAATTATAGTATTTAGCTTCTTTTTTTTTTTTAATGAAAATTAGATTTCACCTTTCATCAAATTTGGTAGATGCAGCAGAATGAATAAGTACGTCTATCTCTTCAAATATCTTTTCATCTTCTATTCCAAAGTTTTCAATAGCAACATTTCCTGCAATTGCTACAACCTTCTTTGATATAAAAGAATTAAAATCTTCACCCAACTCGCCTCGTAGTATCCGAAATAAATCAATTTCAAAAACCTAATATATGATAATTACGTAAATTTCAGTAAGAAAATATCTACTCCTTCCAGTTTTATTTATAAACAAAATTATTTAATAAAAATTCCCTCAAGTATAAGCAAATATTAAATATATTTTGAGTATTTAATGTTTTTATTTCAAATTGATCTTTACATTAATTACTTTAAATATTTATATTATTAATGGATGATATTTTAATCGAAGGTATAGTATATTGTTTTCGTTCATTTTTTAAAAGGCTTATTTAGTTTTATTTTTAATGGAATTATTTATAATTTTATATTATACTATGAATGATGAACCTCATTTTGCAAGCGATGTGCAGCCAAATCAGTGTTTGAAGCTCTTAGGAGTAGATACAGTTTTTGTATCTCTGGTTGGATCCTTAATATCTTTTCAATAAACACTGCACATAAAGATAAATTAAAAATTATTATAATATATAGTGAAATAAATATTAAATGATTTATTATATTACAAAATATTATATAGTACCTTTTGCCAAGAAACCAGTAGCGCCGGTCACTAAAATAGTCTTTCCCTTCAAGAAGTCTTGCATCTTTCCAGAGTTCATTAGAGAAAAGAAGGACAGCAATAGTCAATTTATGATTTGATAATGCTTATTGCATGCCAAGTATGTTTTTTTATAGACTATTGAGTACAGCACATTAGTTTGTTGGTGATTACGTAAGTGATTAGGAGTAAGAGGTTTTTGTGGTGTGGTTTGAGTGATTTTGAAGTAAAAAATTATCTGAATCGCAAGAAAAAAAATATGCGGTTCGAATTGGTTCGGTTGATTTTTAAAAATAAATTCAAACTAAACCAAACTAATGTGGTTTGGATTGGTTTGGTTGATTTGATTTTTTACAAAACAAAAATTATTAAGCCATACATACAAATATAGAGAAAAATATAATTTTGTGTTTAATTGTTGATACATTATCATAAAAAAAATTTATAATTGTCAAAATAAATTTATAATTTAATACATAAAGTTGTGTATTATTATTTTATCTAAATCTAAAAAATGATATAGACAGGATTGCATTCTTAAATAAATATTATACAAAGAATACGATAAAATATATTATGTGAAAATAATATTTATAAATGAATAATATTTTATTTTTTTATGATTTGTAAATTAAAACAAATATAATACAAAGTATGACAAAATATACACATAACACATGTTGATTTCTTTAAAGAATTAAAGAAATATATATTGATTAGTAAAATTTTATAACATAATGCAGTTTTGTTTGGTTTGATTCGGTTTGTAAAATACAAAACACAAACTAAATTAAACTGCGCGGTTCCGTGAAAAAATAACTCAAACACATCCGAATCAAATGTGATTGAACCGCGCGGTTCCGTGAAAAAATAACTCAAACACATCCGAATCAAATGTGATTTTTTACGATTTCAGTTTAATTCAGTTCAATTTTGTGATTTTCTATTAGATCAGTATGATTTTAAACACCCATAATTAAGAGTTAGAATTTGACTTAAAATTTAACACTCTCCTCTAGCCAATGTATGAGAAGGAAGCATTAATGTGAATTGTACTATTATAGTCGGAAACATCTATTGCATGATATATGAATGAGAAAAATGTAACAATTATATAATAACATGAGCTGTATGAAAATAAATCTTCCATCAATTTATGATTAAAATTTTGTGATCGTTTATTCGATGATGAAAAAATTGATTTATATAAAATTTAATTTATATATTAAATCAGAGATCAAAATTTCGGCTACCATTTTTTTTGGTTTTTAATACTCTTTATTATATTACTATCTCCAAATTTTTTTTAGATTTTAATTCTCTTTTGATTTAGAATTTTCAATAAAAGTTTCATCTTTTTGAAGTATTTTTTAACGAATAAAACATATATTTATATAAAAAATAATGTTATTTCATATTTATAAAAATGAATTTTATTTTTATTATATAACTTTTATGTGTGTATAATCACTACGTCAAACAAGACTTTAGAGAATTTTTGTTTTGTTTTAGACAACGCTTTAAAGTGTTGTTTATTTCAACACTGTTGTAGGTAAAGACAACGCTTTGTTAAAAGTAAAAGCGCTGTTAAATCTCCTCTTTAGACAGTCATTTTACTTTGAAAGCATTGCTAAAGGCCCCCTTTAGCCAGCGCTTTTACTTTTAAAGCGCTGTTAAAGGCCCCTTTTAACCAGCGCTTTTACTTTTAAAGTGCTGCTAAAGGCCCCCTTTAGCCAGCGCTTTTTCTGAAACAAAAAAAAATTAAAAATAAAAAGCCCATTTAGGCTGCGCTTTTAATGTTAAAGCGCTGTCTAAAGGCCCCTTTAGGCAGCACTTTTTTTAAAGCGCTGCTAAAGGCCTCCTTTAGCCAGCGCTTTTTCTGAAACAAAAAATAATTTAAAAAAAAAACCCTTTAGGCAGTGCTTTTACAGTAAAAGCGCTGTCTAAAGGAGGTTTAGCCAACATTTTTTAAAGCGCCGTCTAATGTCCACGAAATTTTTTATATAACCTTTTTGAAAAAAACGTTGTTTGATATATACAATTCTATATGAACAGATTTTAACCATATTTGCACCAGGTTTTCACCATATTTTGCACCTGTATATACCATTACAAATTTCACTAGATTTTCACTAATATTGGAGCTTCAATCCAATAAAAAATAATACCAAAAGATATTATACATTTGCACCAATGATACAAACAAAATATATACTATTACTCTTGTACATATATACTTTTACAAAAAAACAACACCATGATACAAACAAAATATATAATTTACCACATGACAAACAACAACAAAATTGCAACACTTGAATATACTCAAAATTTTCATCAATTAAAGTAAAATTATAATATACCTTATATAACTTTCGTCTCAATAATGTATTGACACCAATCCTCCTTAAGTTCATCCAACTGAGAACTTGAGTAATAAGCACACTTAAATTCATCAAAGTACTACATAATAATATAACATAGTATGTTTAAGTTAAAACTATTTAACTATATGAGAAATATGTGTTAAATATTAAAATAACTCATAAGTTAGAAACCCATACCTTAGATGGAATCTCTATTCGATCGAAAGAAGAATTTCTCTCATAAACCTCAACATGTAAAAACTACAATCTACTTCATTAAGTTGCCGAGGATACTACACATGAAAAGAAAATATGCATAAGGCCTAAGTTTTATCAAGTATCATCAATATTAATATAATCAAAATTGTGATAATTAATTAATATACCTCCACTATAATCCATGTAATGTTGTTGACTTTACTCTTTGGTACTTGAACACCTCTTTGTGCTCGAAAAACTTGTATAATGCTAATAAAACATAAACGCATATTTAAATTAATTCACATAAATAAATAAATATACACACGAATATTTAGAACAATTTCACTTATATATCAACCATATTATTCATATCTTGGTATGTACTTGGATCATTGCATAAAGAATCCAGATAACATACAACTTCTCTAATAGGATTAATCATGACCAACAACCAATGTCCACTGTAAGATTAAACAAATGTGAGATGAAAACTTTCTACACAATGTCAAAATATGAAAAATTATAATAGATGAATTTAGAATGAAAATCTAACCCGTTGCCGGTATTAAGCGGTAAAAAGAACAACTTTTCGGTATCTTTGTCGTCCATAAAACGCTCGAGTACATACGCTATGACTTCATTTGATTTATGCATGATTAACCCTTAGTTAGTATTGAAAGGAGATACGAAAGCAAATCTTTGCTCCAATCCACTTGGGCGCATCAATTTTTCATACAAAAATATTAAATAAAAGATCTCATTAACATTTGAAATGAGTAAATGAATTGATCAATTAATTAGACAAAGTAGATCGGATATACCTTATGTATATATTAACAACACCAAGGCCTAATTGTGTATGTTGTAAAACTTGATCAAAATCCTCCATACCAATTATTTTGGAACATTCGAAACCAAAAATATCAAACTCCATAGGTAGAAGACGAGTATTTCCTTCTGGAATATCAGACATTTCTAAAAATGTCCCAAAGCACGACCTAAACTTGGAAGTAGGTTTTTCTTAGCCGCGGTCTTCTTAGCAACAACCTTTTTTGTGTGGAAATGTTGCTAATTTCAGGATTCTTATCCCTACCGACATCTTCATTCTCTTTAGCGTGAATCTAAAGATCATACAATTAGTTATGTGAAGTATAAGATCACGAATTAAAATTTTTCATGCATAAATACCATATAATTGTGATGTACCTCTTTTATTTATGCAACTGACTCGGTTTGCCGCGGAATCCCCTTGTCTTTTGCTTTAGATTTTGTTGGAGTCTAATTAACATAACCATGTTGATCTGACCTGATCAGAAGGTTTGGACCGTCACGGCTTACTCCGAGCTGAAGGCTTTTTGAACGAGGAGGGGGGGGCACCTGCAAGGCACTCCGATGCTAAAGTCAGTGGGAGTACTAGCAGATAATAGAGTTGAGGTTAGAATGATCAATACCTGACCCTCTGGAAACAGAGGGTATTTATAGCCCCCAGCGCTGGGCCAAGGTTCCTTCATTGGGCTGGGCGGATTTGGCCCAATGGAGGAACTGCCAGGTTCTACGTGGGTAGTGGGGACCAGCACGTGGTCCCCTTCCTGGAGGTGCTGCGTGAAGTGCGGGCGGACAGAGACGCGGTCTTTACGGAGTATCGTTGGGGCAATGGTGACTGAGTCTGCCCTAGCAAGGTAGCTCGAGTCCATGTCGGGCTGCGCAGCACGGTGCCGAGCTCGACGCCAAGACCTCGAGCTGGACGGCGAATGTCGAGCTGGAAGCCAGGATACAGAGCTGGACGGCAGTCTGTCGAGCATGACTTCGTCGCATGGGACTAGACACCGAGATGTCGAGGTGGACGTCAGGGTGTCGGGCATGAACGTGACCCCCTTTGCCCAGTGTGGTCCTTAGTGAGTCCCTTTGGACTGGGCCTTAGTAATGCTTTTGGGCCTGTCGGGCCCAGTCCAGAACAGGAGCCCCCCAAGTCGTGGTTCCTTTGCGAGGAGCCATGACTTGAAACCAAGTAGTTCCGTTGCTGAGGTCTCGTGCCCGGAATGGAGGCGTGGGCCCTCGAGGGGCCTCCTCGTGTCGTGCTCGGGAACGTCCTCGGTGGTGGATGCGTGGAGGATCCGTACCGGGCGCGTTGGTCGAGCACGCGAGGCATCTTTTGGGAGCTGTGCCGCCACCCTAGGGAGGTAGGGCCATCATTGCGTTGGGAGCAGCGCGTCGAGGAGATGGAGTTCGTGGTTGAACGAGGTGACGTTTGGTATTCCACGTCATCACTATAAATAGGGTCCTTGGGCCCCATAATACGTTTTCCGTTCTCCTTGCTCTCTCCGTTTCCGCTCTCAACACTTTCTCCGGTTGTGACTTCCCGTCTCAGATTCTTCATTTCTTAGCCAAATCTCAACTTTGATCCAAGTAAGTGACCTACTTTCTTTATTTTTCCGTTTTAGAATGCATGATTCTTGGAAATTGTAGATGTTTTAGGACCATTTGTGTGGGATTA